ATATAATGTATTGCAATAAAAGGAAATTTGTTCAAAACTAATGCCGGCACATGTTTATAAGGGCGCTTCCCCTGTTTCAACGACGAAACGAAACGACTGTCCTACCGACCCACTCACTTTTTGGAAAATCCGAGGGAGACGATGAGAAACGAAAGGACTGTCCAACCGACCGACTCGCTTTATTAATTAGATGGAAACCAGAGCGAGTCGATGGGAAACGAAAGGCCTGTCCAGCCAACCGTCTCGCCTTCGTTGGAAACCCGAGGGAGAACTCGGGAAACGAAAGGACTGCCAACCGGCCTTATGTGCGAATGAAAGTGTCAGTGGACCGAAAATATACTCTGTTAGATTCAGGGTATGTTAACAAACCTGCATAATTTAGAAGACTCGAACCTTGACGCAGCTATCAGAGTCAAAAAAACAGTTTTGTTTTGTAAGTTTATTGTCTGTTTCAGCTGCATCTTTAAGCGTCTAACAAAGTGCGCCTTCATACATCATTTATTAACACGTAATACTCCAGCTAAATTTCCCAGAAAAGCATAAAATGATTTAAAGTAGTAAAATAGTGCAACCATCAACTAAGCCCTTCTAAAACTTCAAATTGTCGACGCACTGACTACGGCCCGTATGCAAATATTAAAGTGTTTGTCAGCCGGCTCGCTACTTCATTTATCGCTGCTGGTTACAAAGTACTTCTACATTGGTTGGTTAAACCGTATAGCTACCACGTTAACATGTCCACCAGTTTCAATATGCTGATCTGGACATAATTCTGTAAAAAAGTAATAGAGAAATTAAACTAATTAGTTGTACGTGATTCTAGGATCTGTAAGACACTGATATATGTTGTCGTAACTTGGAATATTTTAATTAATGAAAACTCTAGGCAGGAGCAAGAAAATTATGGAAAATGGTTCTATCACATGCAGTGATAGTGTTATAGTCGAAATGGCTGAAACGGGGTTTTTCGACTACTGGCTCTGAGTGTATGGTTCTTTTTTCAGACAATTCAAGTCATTTGCAGAATTCTTTTTCCTCTAGACTATATACACTGATGCAACCAGTCTAAATAAAATATTTTGTCTCCCACGAGCATCCACCTGACAAAATTCCAAAAAGAAACTTGAAAAAAGCCGTACTCGTCATCACAGTTGACACTCTAGAAAATGCATGGTTGCCTTTTTTTGTGGAGGACAGAGACGTACAGAGACACTTTTTTTTTCCCATTAAGACCTTTGTTTCGTTGTGCGATATGGTTAGCTCAACCTTATTCTTACCACGTTCTGAAGACTTCCTTCTACTTGGCGGTATCCTCGTGGTTGGACTCCAGGAATCCGTGGAGCCGGGATATCTGCAGTATATCATTCCTTTCATCTTCTCTCGGAAGTTGTGGCTTATCAGAGTGTACACAAATGGGTTCACGGCGGTATTGAGCAAGATCAGCGTGTGAATAGTGAGGTATGTCTCTGTACTAATGCGATGAGATGTGTAGTAGTCTATGCTGTGCGCAGTTATGTCAGACACCCAACAGATCCCAAATAAGACAGTGACAGTTACCACCATCAAGGTGGCTCGCTTCCGCATCCTGATTACGCCCTGTGTATATCGAGACACAAATCCGATTAAGATGGCAACAATTTAATCAGAAAAATAAATTGAAAGTAAATGTTAACAAAGAGGCTTGCAAAAAAGTATGGATGTTACCATGGCAATGTTCCAATCCAGATATCACAACCCCAGTATCACCACAGATACAATTCCAGAATCACAATAACGTCAGATTTACAATGCGTATGACAACCACGATAAAGCAATGATAACATCACACTTACAATGCCCAACCACAATGTCACAGCCATAGTGTCACAATCATAATGTGACACTCATAATGCCACACTCACAATGTCACAACCACAATGTCACAACCACAATGTCAAAACCACAATGTCAAAACCACAATGCCACAATCACAATGTCACAGCCATAATGTCACAGCCATAATGTCACAGCCATAATGTCACAGCCATAATGTCACAGCCATAATGTCACAGCCATAATGTCACAGCCATAATGTCACAGCCATAATGTCACAGCCACAATGTCACAATCATAATGCCGTCACAACCATAATTTCTCAACCACAATGTCACAATCACAATGTCACACTCACACTGTCGATCACAATTTTACAACCACGATATCACACCGCGAGCGAATATGACAATAATCACAATAACGTCAGATTTACAATGCGTATGACAACTACGATGTCACAATGATAACCTCACACTTACAATTTCCCAACCACAATGTCACAACCATACTGTCACAATCACAGACACTCATAATGTCACACTCACAATGTCACAACCACAATGTCACAGCCACAATGTCACAACCACAATGTCACAACCACAATGTCACAACCACAATGTCACAGCCACAATGTCACAATCACAGTGTCACACTCACACTGTCGATCACAATTTTACAACCATGATGTCACAACCACGAGCAAACATAACAATAACAAAACCAGAACGTTCTAATCATGAAAACGACATAACAATTGCATCATCAAGAACAACACAATGTTCCTGGATTCCCTTATGTGAAGACCTTACACCTTTACACTTACTCTTTGTTGAAAGGCAAGTTGATTGTCGTGAACGTCGCGTTTAAACCACAGAGTGTACACGATTCTGGAATATAACCCTGCCATCAGTACCATAGTCAAAAGTGCCGCGGAGTTCCATACCATATCATAAGCCCTGTGCTTCCAGTTTTCGCCGTACACCCAGATATTCACACAAGTATTGTCCTTTACGGTTACTACCACGAACAAAGGCAGATTGATTATTACTGCGAAGATCCAAGAGCCAGCAATGGCCTTCTGAAATTGTTAAACATAAAGGTTGTGATAACGATTCCTGCCAAAACTGCTACTCATAACAAAAACACATAGTTATAATCAAGGACAACCAGAGAAGCAGAGACTTTTATTTCTACGTCGTTAAAAGGCTGTTCAAATAGAAAATGATAATAAATATCTTAATTGACCATTTCCCAATGGGGCTTTTCAGTTTCAATGAAACCAAGTGATGAAACAAATAATGCAAATGAACATAACCTGGTTAAAAATCCCAACTGGCAGGAGGCAGACCAGTAGGCTATTTACATACGGGGCAGAGGAGTTGAACTAGGGTCTACCGAAAAACAAGTCCAGCTTAGTGGTCACAGCGGGACTTGAACCCGCGACCTCCGGATTTCAAGTCTGGCGCTCTAACCACTCGGCCACGCTTCCTCCACATTTAAAAGTTATGGCAAAATTAAAAGCAGTTTAATCTTTTTAGAATCTTTACTGGAATGTTGCAAAACCTCCCTGCGCGCTATATTGTCTTTCCCAAGAATTGGGCAAACCAAAAGTGATGTTTTATTTTCATCGATAACAAAAGACATTCATACCAAAAGAATTCGCTGTGTGTAATAACGACGATACCCCTAACTCAGACCCACCAAGCTCATGAAAGACATGGAAAGGGAAACCAGGATTGACACGAAACAAATTAGCGTTTTGTGCATAATAAATATCGAACAACACGTGTCATTTTTTTTAGAAAGAGAAACTTCAACGAATGTCCAGGATTAAGTATTATTACGTCACTTACCTAAATCTAAAGCATTCTTTATTTACACCTATGGCCATTATCAGTGACATACCTTCAGTTTCCCCGTGGTAAGTCTCCTATTTTCATAAGGATAAATCACTGCAAAATATCGTTCAAAGGCAATAACAAGCAGAGTGACCATCGAGGAGAAGGCTCCGATCCACGCGAAGATTGCAGCTGTCACCAATTTGCACAAGAATGTACCAGCCAATCCATCGGGGTGGGTGATAGCGATTCTCAAGATAACTTCTGGTGCAATAAACGCTGCGTACATGATATCTGCTATAGCCAGGTTTACTAGTAGACAGTTTATGGGAGTCCTGTAAAATACGATAAATATGAATATAATATATAACTGAAGCAAATAGTCGTTAGATCCGGCGTCCTTCGTGTGCGCTCATGTGCAAACGGCATCGCTTGTAATCAGGAGCCATAATCGGGGACGGAGACCGTAAGTCTCGGGATTCGCGCGCGCCTATGATATGGGACAATTTTTCTATTTTTAAAACAAATTG